CAAATCGAGATGGTGAAAGAGCTTTACCCATCAATGTTTTAGAGTTTAAGTTAAAATATAGGCTGAGTATAGGCTGACTTTAGCAACACTGTGCAGCTTTTTTGGGCCTTGGGACCTTCTAACTATTGTAGCTGCATTAGCTAAGAGGGCTTTATGTTTCACAAACACTCTCTGATGTTTTCAGCTTTAGTTTATGGCCTTTTAAAGCAGTAAACACATAAGCAGAAAACAAGCAGATGACCTTTTTTAAAACTCTAGTGTTGTGTTCATCAACAGCTAGAGCTTTTTCCTTATTTGATCTGATATATTGTCTGATTTTTGGCCCTTTGGCCTCATGCGATCGATATTCTGTGAAAATCCTTGGCATGATCTGCAATACCTCCTTCAAAGTCAATAAACAGATCAGATCACTTGTCAGCGCTGCTGTTTTCTGTTAAGACTTTTCACAGAGGTGAAATTCTGTAATCCTGTGTGTGTAAGTGCAAAGTAATGATTTCCCTACTGTCTACAGGTGACACAAAACATGGCTGCTCATTTTACAACAAGAGTATGACCATGAGGCACCAGTGCTATCCTCCCTCCACTGGCTTCCTGTCTGTTTCAGGATTGATTTTAAGGTTTTATTGTTACATCCTCTGCCTCCACTTCCTCCACGCTTGCCTGGAGTTCCTCTCTCTCTCATCTGTGCGCTTGATTGTAGGAGTGAAGACAGGTGTGTTCGAGCTGGAGGAGAGAATCAGCAGCTGCACTACATCACAATCATCAAGCCTGCTTCAAATACTCTGCTCTTCCCCCTACACACTACCAGCACATAGACTCTGCTTGTGCAGTCTGTCACGTTTCTTGCTATCATCTGAGCTCTTATGATTTTGTCTTCTGCTCCTGTGTTTGCTTGAATCACAGTCCTTCTAGTACCCGTCTGCTTCTCCAATGTAGTTTAACTTCCAGGTCCCTGGATCCCATTCTGCCCACGATCCACACCATCAGTTTTCCTGCTGCCAGCATGCTTCCACTTCAGTCTTTTCCATCCATCCCAATATGACTTCATTAACTAGCCTGCACTTGCGTTTCAGCAATTATATTATCAACGCTGGCTGTGTTTTTCTTTTTTTAAAAGGTGATGACACTACCATATTTGGCCAAACTCTTGCATTTTCATTCCCTAGTTAGAGAGCTACATCTAATCAGTCAGATTATCTTGGATACCCCAGACACAAAAATTGAGATTTTACAGTGATTACACCCAATCTCTGCAACAGCTTAACCTGCCATAGGAGCTACTCAAACTTCGGAAAGTTACTGGTTTTGTGCACAGCTTAATATACTAACTCATTCCACCTGTTCATGAATAAATTCAACATCACTGAAAATAGTCTGATTACTCTTAATCAGCACTATATAAATTTGTCCACAGTAACTCTTTTATGAAACTGATTTGCATTATTTGATTAAATACATTTAGCTATGCATGAGTTATTTATTTTATTTTTTTTACTTTGACTCCTTTTTTCATTCAACTCTTATTAAAAATGAACTAGCTCATGTTAAGGCTCTAATTGCATCACATTTAATTGCTTTTAAAATCATCTTTCAAGCTTCTGTGAACCCTGCAAAAAATGCACTCTTTCATGTTTATTTACTTCGACCCCTGAGATTGTGAAGAGGTAGAAGGATAAACTCGTTAATCATGCATGCCCTGTGTACATATATAATACGCGTGGTGCACATGCGGAAAATTACAAGCATTACTAGCGTCTTCATCGCTTACTTCAAACATCCACATTACTGCAAGGACAACGGTGCTGCTCGGAAAATCAGACTGTATCGTGGAGATCCACCTATGAGCAAATGTGTATTGAAATTCCTGCACAGATCATTGCTTTTCTGAATGCTTGAGTCTGAGTTTTTGGAGGTAAATACACCAGGAGACCTTACCTCCCTAATACCAGTAGTATTGCTTCTGCACAGTAAAGAGCTTAAATTTAAACCCGTGGAAATCTGTTCCACGGGACTGCTGTAAAGCACTATACACTATCTATGCATGTATTCTAAATTCCCTAATGGAATTTTTTTGAGAACTATTTTTATTTTTTAGTACACAAGAATTTCCATCAACAAAGAATAACATGTTTATCAAATCTTGCCGCCGTGGGATGCTTATCTCTCCTCTGAGGACAGGTGCTCTGCCTCGAGCAGCAAACTCTTCCCTGAAAGAGAACAGTAGAAAATGAAACAATCATTCATATGCAAGTAGGATCCACTGTTAGGCTGCCATTTGTATTCTGCTCCCCGGCTGGTTGGCCTTTCTCTGTTGAATATCAGCAGGATATGTTGACTGTTCATGACTGGGATCCAGTGTTGAATCAGAGCTGTGGTTTCAGGCATAGCAACAGGACAAACGGGAGGGAAGTGCTGAAGGAACAGGCTGCGGTCTATTTTGAGTATTTTTGTTTAACCCAGTTACAGTGTCAGTGTGCTGCCTGTGACTGAACCAGGACCAGTCAGGTGATTTTACCTCTTTTTGAAATATGGGGCAACAGTGTTATAGATGAAAATGTGATGTAGTCAAAACAATAGCAAGCTGCTTCGTACATGGAGACGAAGATAAAATAAATTAGACTAGAATAAAAAGCCAGTGTCGGGTTAACACGTAATAACGGCACGGGTGTCCCTCAAGACAGCTTGCAGCACCTCTCTGTGACCTTGGTGGCTTCGGTTTGTGTCACCGTTTCCATCTGCCAAACAATCCCAGAGCAAAATGGACAAATCATCATAGCTGGGTGGTATTTCAAAATACACCTATAGCCAGAGATAAGCTTCCAATACAGAGCTCTCGAGCGTTGGTTGCAGCAACAATAAAAGCATAAAGCCTGTAAATAAACAAAGACACGGCCGTGCCACCTGAGGCCCTGTTTCCTGGAATCAGCTAGAGTTTCAATTTGGAGAGGTTTTTTTTTCTTTTGCAAGCAAACGAGGCAATTATTGTGAGAAGCCACAGGTGAGGGGGGATATGAGAAACTGGCTTTCTGTGGGAGGCACGGATTGGAGACGAATCCCATCCATGAGTTGCTTTGTTCAAATGCACCCCTGCGCCTACCCGCCTCCAAGCATCCGCCCTCCAGCCATCCACCTGAGAAAGCACTTTATGAGCTACTGAAGTAAGGCAGATGACAGTTTTGCCTCCGTTTCTCTTTTGTCAGTTCCACCGTGCGGTACCTCCAGCCTCAGTAACACTCTCAGATCCTAGATATGAATCACAGCATCCCCCGAACGTGTTTCATCTTTCACTTCCACTGCCAGACACCTACATTACTTCACCACTCCTGTGAGGCATGCATTCTGTTAATTTCACCACTCTTCATCTTAATTTAATATCAGAGAGATAGCAGGGTGGCCTATGTGATTAAGTGATCCGAGTTATAGATAAAGTGAGTGCGTCCCTGCTTATAGCCTGTGTCTGTATATGCGTGTTTGCGTCTTGATTTTTCATCTCTCTCGCTTCTGCTTTGACATCATCAGCATGTGCCATTACTTTGCATCGCTATTTCCCCTCACACAATGAGACACTAATCTAATATTACAACTGCATCTCCCTTTTATATATAATATAATAATAATAATAATAATAATAATATAAGAATAATGTTGTTTGTGACGATTTTTACAGATGGAATAAAAACAGAGCGCACAGCCTGAGCTTATTGGAAGTGTGTAACCACAGCGACGGAAGAGTGCCAAACTGACTTTACTGCTGAGCTGTGTAATCTGCAGAGACATGGGAATGCTTGGAGTGTTCATTGTGTGTGTCGGTGAAATGAAAAGGGTTTATATTTTTTGCAGTCTCCTTGGTGTGGACAAATGCGCCAAAGCCGCGATGTTAGTGTCACCGTGCCTCGGGGAAATCACTGATGTTTCAGGTGCTGCTGAGTGATGCGGGGAGACTGGAGCACAGCAGATGTGGGGACTTGTTAGGAACTTTATTTGCCATTGTACCCTTCAACAGACATCCCTCTTAATTGGGTCTCCGTGGATAACGCTCGGCATCTGGACTCTTTGCTCATGAATGGACCGAACTGATGTCCTTCTGTGCTCTCATTGCCATACACACTCACACACAGAGACACGCACACTCCTCTTTATTTGCTCATTTAAGTAGTGTCACACCAACAGCACGTAGTATCTGTGTTAAGACAAAGGTGTTGGAGTTATCACTCCATCTAGTGGTGATTCTAAGTCTCATGATAGAAACATGAACACTGTATTAGCTGCATGCCTGTAGTGCCTCCCCGCGAGCTTTCTCCCCTACGTTTGTGCATGCATGCAAATCTTTTCTGCTTTTAACCTCCGCGATCCATCAGTCACCTAAATGCGCATTTATTCATCGACTCTTCACATCAACCTAAATCTGTAACTGATTTCACTGTGCACAGTTTATGTGCTCTTGTTGGTGTCACTGCCCACAAGATGTAAAAATCAATGGAGCCCCGAAGAGCCCAGTAGACAGTGTGCTGTGGTCTGATTGGCTACAAAGTACTCAGTAGGCCCTCTTGTGATAAATAACTGTTATTCCATAAAGATGCGTTTTGTGCCTGCACTAGTCAATATTTTATAATGATGGCTTACATAATAAAGTGTAGTATGAAAGGTCATTTCTGGTGATGGACCTCCAAATCAACAGTCTTTCCAGCTGTAAAGGGTGCTTCAGTATCTTTTACAACACAAAGCTTTTGGTTCACTCAGGTCACTGCAAGCGTCCAGCTACACCAGGCAGCTCTGATAATAAAGAAGGGCAACCTGTGATGTGTAAGAGGGCATCTCAGTAATGTGCACACAACGTCTTTCTGTCATTAAAAATAAAGTTTCAACGTTTTTATATATTACCTCTTAAATATCTACTATAGGCCCCTTAACTGCATTCAGCAAAACTTTATTGAGAACGTGGGCAGTCCTCTTTATTAACTCTGTGTTATAATGAATAAACAACAAAGCCTCTGATTTTCTTTAGATTTATTTACATTTCAAATATTTCTGAAGCAAACCGCAGGAATGACTCAGAGTTCTGAATATGCAGGGAATAACACAATTTAAGGCACAAAATTCAGACTTTGAATGGATTTAGCTGTACCACTGAGGTAGCTTCATCTTGACTAACATCTTTAACTATGACAGTATGAAAGTTTTAATGGCAAAAAAAAACCCAATTTGTGTTAAAAAACTATGGCGCTAAAGCAGGGTGAATAATCTCACTTACTTTTATTTTGTTTTTCAAGTACATTTTTATGAAAAAAAAGACTTTAGCAAAACAAAACTCAGCTGACAGCAGGTTTTATCCATAGTGTTGGGACAGTATAAAACCCACATAAGTTGCTTGCAGACACGACGTTTTAGCGAAGGTTTCCTTGAAATGTCTTTTACTGATATTTGTTTTCTTGATGTATCAGAAGAATAGAAGATGACGGATGTCTCAGCCTGTAGCTGGTGGCACATATGACATTTCAGTTTGCTACCTACAGGATTGTGACACCTGTCAATACTTTGAGTGAAGCCCAAGGAAAACAAAATCTACATGAGCTTTAGCTCTACATTCAGGAATAAGTTTCTTATAAAAAAAATAACATCTGAGAAGATGTCCTTTAGTTGTCTTTACTCACACTCTTCTTTAAATCCAGTGGAGGTTTATGACAATATGTCATACAAATAAAATTAGACATTAATTAAATATCTCTAAAGCTTACATACCAAAGCAGCAAATCAATAAATAGGTGGACTGTTTAGTAGAAAGTACCTTGCTGAATGCTGCTTTGCATATAGCTGGTGAATTGAGTTGATGCAACCCAGTGGTTTGATCATGGTGTCCCAGCTGCATACTGATGGGATCTATGGTGATGCTGCACGGTGAAGTGCTCTGCAGCCAGCAGCTTCTGATGGGGATGGGTCCCATTCCTGTTATACACTGCTGCTAGATGGTAGCTAGTATTGCTCAATATGCTGCTTTTCCTTGTGAACATGTTTAGATCTTTAATGAAGCTGTCTAACATGCCAACATCAAGAACCAGCTTCTGTGGCTGTAGAAGATTGGTATGTGTGGATAAGTCAGGAGTATCATGATGCAGTTGGACAAAGTTGCCTCAAAGTGGCTGCAACAGAAGGCCGAAATCATCTGGATGCAGAGCACAGTCCGCTGGGCTCTCACACATGTCGGACACAGAGTGACAGTCTGGAACTAAGCGAGCGTCAGATATATCATCTCTGAAATCACAGGATGGCGATGATGAGGTGGGTGGAGTGTGGCCACTGAGCATGTCAAAGGATGGCTGGTCAAAAGGTTTGGGAGCCTGAGGGTGAATGGTGACAGGTGAGCTCGGTCTCTGAGCAGAGAGTAGAGCACAGCCCCTGATCTGTGCATGCATGCTCATCCATCAGAATGTCATGGCTGACCTCCTCCTGCTCCAGCTAATGGGCTGGCACTCTCCATATGGCTCAACTATAGATCCAGCACCATGACAGATCCATGCACTGGAGTCCATGTCTTATACTGCATCTCCCTGCAGTGCATCTAGCTGGGGAAAAAGACAATATTTCCCATTAGCTCCCAAAGATTCAGAAACTAAAAGTGCTGCAACATTACACCTGAAAATGGCGAATAGTTAACAAAAAGGCTCACCATGGAAACCCCAAGATACTCTGCTACATTTTCTGACACATACACCAGCCTGCCCTGTGCGGTGGAGACGAGGATGAAACCGTGCAAGGCTTGAAGAAAGACCTCATGTGGCAGAGAGCAGTGTGATCGCTCTCCAGCTGGGAGCCCTTAGAGAGGAAAGAGTGAGTTCAGCCTTGCTTATACAGCATGCATCTCTGCGGGTTATCACATCTGTTACTTTTTGATATGGTCTCAAGGGTACTGAAGATTTAGTCCCATTTTGTTTGACAGCGATGCAGGCTGAATGCAGATTAAAAGTTCAAAGGCATTAAAGGATGACTGCAGTATGAAAACTTACCCTGGACAGACTTCCTGATGTAGGTGCAGATGACGGCCATGGAGTGAAGGTACGAGAGTCGCTCCTGGTCCTCCAGGGTGATGGGCAGCAGAGCACGCATGTTCTTGATCTCATGATTGATGTGGTCCCGTCGAGCTTTGGATGCCCCTTTGGTGGATCTGTAAGAGACCATGGTCACTGAGGTCAGAAGGCTGAACTGAAAACTAAAGTAGTAAATCCGGTGAGCCCGAACTTTTGTCTATTTCCACACTTGCATTTAAAGATCATTCTGATGTGTAACTGCCAAGTGTAGTGCGCTTTTTTTTTTTTAAATGAAAATCTAATTGCAAGAAAAAAAAAAGAGTAATTAGCCTGAACTCATGCAGCCTCTTTTTCATGGCTCAGCCTGCCTTATAGCATTAGCTTGTGGGAAGGTGATGACTTTGAATATCAAGGGTTCCTATGGAAACTGCTGATATTTGCAGTGACAATGGCACTAGGTGCTCATTTTTAAAATGTTGTCACAATATTAGAAGATAAACGGATCTATGTCAGTGTAAATGTTGTCAGATTCTTAAAAAGTACTTTTTCTCAAATTAAGACATCAGTGTAACATAAAACCCAGCTGACAAAATTGTAGAAAGGAAAAATAAAAGAATGTCTACATGAGCTTTAACTAAGCTTTTCAGGATGGGAAAGTGTTGCATATGAAAATAACATCTGAGAAGATGTCCTTTAGTTGTCTTTACTCACATTCTTCTTTAAATCCATTGGAGGTTTATGACAATATGTCATACAAGTGGTCGTCCAGTTAAGTCTCAGACTTATTTCAAGACGGGTTTTCTTCAGCAAGCTCCACCTAAAGAGAGACAGAAAATAAAATTAGACATTAATTAAATATCTCTAAAGCTTACATACCAAAGCAGCAAATCAATAAATAGGTGGATTGTTTAGTAGCAAGTACCTTGCTGAATGCTGCTTTGCATATAGCTGGTGAATTGAGTTGATGCAACCCAGTGGTTTGATCATGGCATCCCAGCTGCATACTGATGGGATCTATGGTGATGCTGCCCACGGTGAAGTGCTCTGCAGCCAGCAGCTCCTCTGCAATGAAGCCAGTGTGCTCTTGCTGCTCCTGATGGGGATGGGGCCCATATATCCTGCACACTAAGCCGTACTGCTAAGCCAGAATACTGGTTTCTCTGCTGTCAGGCTCTATGGATGTGAGATACTGGTTGGGATTAAAGAGACTGGTACGTATGGGTCACGATGCAGTTGGTCAACGCTGCTTCCTTGTGGCTTAACCTGAAGGTCAAAATTGTCCGCTGGGCTCTCACACGTGTCGGATACAAATGAGCAGTCTGGAACAAGGCGAGCATCAGAATTGAGAATGTACACGCTCTGAAATAATTAGTCGGAGATTAGGAGATAAATGAAGAGTGGCCACTGAGCATGCCAAAGGTTTGAGTGGCTGCAGGGAGCACTGTGTCTGGGTAGGAATAATGGGAGGGAGAGGCCTCAGGGGCGATTAAAAGTTCAAAGGCATTAAAGGATGACTGCTGTATGAAAACTTACCCTGGACAGACTTCCTGATGTAGGTGCAGATGACGGCCATGGAGTGAAGGTACGAGAGTCGCTCCTGGTCCTCCAGGGTGATGGGCAGCAGAGCACGCATGTTCTTGATCTCATGATTGATGTGGTCCCGTCGAGCTTTGGATGCCCCTTTGGTGGATCTGTGAGAGACCATGGTCACTGAGGTCAGAAGGCTGAACTGAAAACTAAAGTAGTAAATCCGGTGAGCCCGAACTTTTGTCTATTTCCACACTCGCATTTAAAGATCATTCTGATGTGTAACTGCCAAGTGTAGTGCGCTTTTTTTTTTTTTAATATGAAAATATAATTGAAAGAAAAAAAAAAAATAATTAGCCTGAACTCATGCAGCCTCTTTTTCATGGCTCAGCCTGCCTTATAGCATTAGCTTGTGGGAAGGTGATGACTTTGAATATCAAGGGTTCCTATGGAAACTGCTGATATTTGCAGTGACAATGGCACTAGGTGCTCATTTTTAAAATGTTGTCACAATATTAGAAGATAAACGGATCTATGTCAGTGTAAATGTTGTCAGATTCTTAAAAAGTACTTTTTCTCAAATTAAGACATCAGTGTAACATAAAACCCAGCTGACAAAATTGTAGAAAGGAAAAATAAAAGAATGTCTACATGAGGTTTAACTAAGCTTTTCAGGATGTGAAAGTGTTGCATATGAAAATAAAATGTCTACATGAGCTTTAACTAAGCTTTTCAGGATGGGAAAGTGTTGCATATGAAAATAACATCTGAGAAGATGTCCTTTAGTTGTCTTTACTCACATTCTTCTTTAAATCCATTGGAGGTTTATGACAATATGTCATACAAGTGGTCGTCCAGTTAAGTCTCAGACTTATTTCAAGACGGGTTTTCTTCAGCAAGCTCCACCTAAAGAGAGACAGAAAATAAAATTAGACATTAATTAAATATCTCTAAAGCTTACATACCAAAGCAGCAAATCAATAAATAGGTGGATTGTTTAGTAGCAAGTACCTTGCTGAATGCTGCTTTGCATATAGCTGGTGAATTGAGTTGATGCAACCCAGTGGTTTGATCATGGCATCCCAGCTGCATACTGATGGGATCTATGGTGATGCTGCCCACGGTGAAGTGCTCTGCAGCCAGCAGCTCCTCTGCAATGAAGCCAGTGTGCTCTTGCTGCTCCTGATGGGGATGGGGCCCATATATCCTGCACACTAAGCCGTACTGCTAAGCCAGAATACTGGTTTCTCTGCTGTCAGGCTCTATGGATGTGAGATACTGGTTGGGATTAAAGAGACTGGTACGTATGGGTCACGATGCAGTTGGTCAACGCTGCTTCCTTGTGGCTTAACCTGAAGGTCAAAATTGTCCGCTGGGCTCTCACACGTGTCGGATACAAATGAGCAGTCTGGAACAAGGCGAGCATCAGAATTGAGAATGTACACGCTCTGAAATAATTAGTCGGAGATTAGGAGATAAATGAAGAGTGGCCACTGAGCATGCCAAAGGTTTGAGTGGCTGCAGGGAGCACTGTGTCTGGGTAGGAATAATGGGAGGGAGAGGCCTCAGGGGTGCACAGCCGCTGATCTGTGCATACATGCACATCCATCAGAATGTCATGGCTGAGCTCCTCCTGCTGCAGAGAGGAGCTGGAGGAGGCGGGGCTGTATGGAGGGATGAAGACAGCAGGGCTATCACCCAGAAGGGCAGGTGAGCTCGGGGAAGAGCCGCTCACCACACAGTCTGTGTCGTGCTCAGACTCCCTCGTATCTCTGGCACCAGGCTCCTCACTCTGGCTGTTGGGTGTCCTCTGCCTTTTATTGTTGGAGCTTTGAGGGTGTTGAGCACAGTGGTAGGAATTTGGCAGAAATGCTGGTTTGAAGGCCATGCTGCTGATTTTCTTCTGAAGAAATCTGGCCTCAGTTTCACTGCAGGAACACAACGTGCAACAAGTCAGCGTCTTTACTGGGAAAACACTGAAACATGTGCTCAGTTTTTCCAGAGGAGGTCATAATACCTGATGATGAAGTTGGTGCAGCTGATGGTCTGGCATTCCCCAGAGACTTTGGTGGCTCGACTATAGATCCAGCACCACGACAGATCCATGCGCTGGAGTCTCAGCACCATTTCCACCTGGAAGCCGTCATCTGAGTGCACTGGAGGAAATGTTCATGGTTATAACCGTGCACACAAAACCTCAAACGTATCGCACACGCTAAAATAAATATGTAACGAGCTGAACTAAAGAACTGCATTCAAAGAGAATGATGCTAAACAGTCTTAATATTTACTATTTCATATCATTCAACAACTGAAAGCTAAAGTGCTCAGTGTGCTGTGAATAGATGACAACAGCTATTTAATGTGCCAGTGAATACTGAAATCCTAACATTTAGCTGTCTCTTTGTCTTAAAGGCTGTTGTTCACTTACTCAAACTTCTGTGAGAATCTGCACTCAGCGACAGATCTTCAGGATGGACGAGGCTGTACCATGATCGACCAATCATTTCCTCTGCTGAATACCCCAACAAAGGAGACACGCTAAAAAGGAAAATCAAAATGTCG